TAGCTCTTCAGTGGGACTTTTAAAGTCTGCAGTACAAATAGTATCAATACTGAGGTGGAGGGGGAAGAGTGGAGGGAGAGGATAGAATTTCTGCCATCCTCCTCCCTATTCTCAATAAGGTTCTAGATGTGTTCAAGGGCAGAAATTCCACCCCAATATATTAGTTTTGTTAATCCTTTTCTTATGATCTCCCTTGCCTGGCTAGGGAAATTATGCAAAAAAAGTAATAAAAGTTCTAATTCAATTTCCATGTTAAGAGATGGATTTGGAATTTAAAAAAAAAAAAAAAAATATCAGAAACCATATTCTTTGTGTTTACTAAGAGATATGCACTCCAACATTTAGTGTCACGGAGCTGGAGTTAAAACCAGAAATGGCAAAGAAAATTTAGCTGCATGAATGCCTGCTCTTCAGTAAAATGCTGCCAAAATTAAATAGGAATGAAACAGCACTTTGTAGTCATTGGTCGCTCAGCGGGGTTTGCGTAGTTAAAAACCTAAGTGAAAAGGGTGATTGACCTACATTGCAACTAGCTTAGCACAGCTGTACTTTCATATTTCTGCTGCATCCGAGGAAGCTCATTATTTAATACAACTGAGTTACATGTAATTGTCGCTCTTTTATTTTACACTTCTAGGGGCCAGATATTAATCTCAAATGTGCAGCAGGCGTTACCGTGCATCTGGAAACATCCATGGCTGCCCATTTGCAGGCAAGGCGAAGAGAAGGGATTGCACCTGAAATTAGGAGGCTGCCCAGGGCTAGGAGAACCTCACAAATACACAGAAATCAAAGGAGCAGATGGAACAGAAAGCAAATCCCTTGGCACCCCAAAGGCAAAGGCTCTGCTGTTTCCCCATTGTTTTGAGCAGAAGCAGCCCAGAACGTGCAACCAAAGCACATTTCACACAACTCATACCTGAGGTTTAAATAAGTAATAACATTCCAGTTAACAACCAGTTTGACATGTTAACAGCCCAAGGGCTGTTAACATAATGACTGGTCATTAATGGCAGTAATGACAGATTTCAAAGGGAATATTGTGCTTGTAAATGGACACGCTGCCAGTCAGAAGAGAGGACAGAGCAGGATAGGCTGATGCATTAAGATGTCACCGTACAGCTCTGGAGGAAAAGAAGGGGAGAAAAAAAAGAAAGTTCTTGCATATTTCACTCACTATAAATGGACTTGAAATATCGGCGTAAACCTAAGTCCCTTAAATTAAGTCTTCACATTCTAACCCAGGAGTGTATAAGCAGAAGACAGAAGCCTGCAGGGGAATTATACTCTGCATATCATTTTCGCAGAGTGTGTTATTTCCAACACTGAGCCCTTTCTTTACTGGAGTCAGTTCCCATCCTCGTTAACAAAGTGGAGCTCGTCCCTGCCGCGGCCACCCCGACACCGCGGTGTCGCCGCCGCCTCGGAGACCACCGGAGTGCCTCACATGGATCACATTCCAGGGCAAAGCCTCTCACACCCACAGCATCTCTCAACCTCCTCGCCTCATTAAAGATTCCTTCCATTCCCTCAACCCCTCCCAGTCCGGAGAAAAATGTTTTAATGTAGTATAATTAACTAATTTTACCAAAGGAGGCGGCTAAAGCAAAGCAAGTTTTGAAGTTCTGAAGATACGGAGTATTTATAGGAAGCTCAAAGTGGGGACCTCAGGGCTCAGCTGCAGCAAGGACCAGGGCCGAGGGAGGGTGTAGGTTTTTTGGCAGGCATCCTTAAATGAAAGGTACTGGAAGTATTTTTTGCAAACAGGCAAGGACACAATCACACCATTTATGAACTTAAACACGAATGCTAAAGCCCCCAAACTGGCTGTGTGATTGCTTGTAGCATCTGCAGAACGCCTGTCTCATTGAAAGGCATAATGAACACTGAGAGACAAGTTAATAAGCAATTTTACTCTTTATAGTATCGTTCAAGCCACATATCCTCTAGAGGGCACCACATAAATTAATAGGAAGCCAGAACAGTTTTATACGCAGCAAAGACTCCCTTTATGGTTAAAAAGAAAAAAAAAAAAAACCTAAAAAGATAGTTTGAAACCATAATCGAACTCTAACGTGATCATTAGTACAATGCAACTTGTTCCTTAAATTCATGCCAAGTGGGTTGCTAAATATGAAAGCTTATTTGACTACAAAGCTAGAGAAAATTTAACTAGTTTGTACATTAGCACTGAAAAGATCACTTTTATAGGTTCATTGCATAACTAAGTAGATAAGATGCAATGAGGCAAATGACTATCTGCAATTACCTTAGGTGCATCAGTTTGAAGTTTGGTGTAAATATCAAGTTTAAATCTATGCACTCACAAGTATCACTCAGAAAAAAAAAAAAAAAAATCGTAACGAAATCTTCATTAAGACTCAATAAATCCAGAGACAAAAATCAGAAACTTCTTAAAACCAATTATAGCATTTCTCACGTATGCTGTTTTCACGTGCCAAAGTAAAAGGTATTGCATATGAAGAAATAAATGGAACACCAGTTTGAATGTGATCATGACAGATTAAAAAAAAAAAAAAATCTCCTTTCTCTGAATCGCTTAGTATGAGTTTTAACAATCTGTTAGCAAAATATTTACTCCTGTTACACCCTCAAAGACCAGAGAGCAAGAGCGTGTGTGAATGCATCCGTGCTGGGGAAATGCTTTGCTCATATCTTTACTACCACATCATTTCTGGTTTAGATTTTAAACATTTGATTTTAAAACATTAGATCTGCTGCACTAGCACTTGGGAGATTCAGTAAGCTCAAAGTCTCCAGTAAATTTGGAACTCAGATGAAACAGCCATAGCGGTTCCCTTGCTCCTGCAGGCATTTGTTGAATAAAGATTATTAAAATGAGTTTTAAAAATTGGGATGTTACTTCCCCGCACCAAAACCTTTTTCAAACCCTCTCTACACACACTCACCTAAAGACCACGAGCAACCTAAGTCCACGTACAACAATTCCCTTCTGTTCCAACAGTTTTTAAAAGTGAGGTTTTGTTACCTGCTACTTTGGCAGCTTTAGCACAGCGGGTTTAAGATGCAGCCTCTATGCAAAACTCCCAGCACTCTATCTCGGGTTCAGTTCAGAGCTTTAATAGGTAGCAGAATACTTTTACCATTAAGTAGTCTAAGCCCATCTGAAGAACCTGATCTGCCTTTCAGTCCCAGCTCAACAAATGCACAATGCTTTTTTCTAGAGGTGGTAACGTGGAGAGCCAGAGTACCAAGAGATGTTAGTGCTTTAGTCTTAATTCTTGTTCCAGCCTACTCATGGTGTATAATTCGGGAGCTGATCAGTGTGTGGGAACCTATTATTTGGTATCTGCACTTAAGTGGAACTTGGAAGTTAACGCATTCCAAAAGAATTTTAATTTTTCCCCAATGTATTAGCGACTTCGATGTCCCTTTAAAAGGAAAAGGCTTCACTAAAGGGGCAGGGGAAGTATTCCCAGAAGTTCACCTTAGCCTGGAGCAGCTAGTCTCATCAGACCCCCTCCACAGGGAATGGAGGAAAGGTGTTACTATAGGAAATAGGTGCTCAGAATCACCCCAGAGGAGCCTTTCTCTCTATTTACTATGGAGAGCCCAGGGAGACAGAACTTCCCAGTTAAACTTATATCCTGCAAAGCAGCCCTACTGACATGTGATGTGTAGATAAACTATCCTGGTGCTGCACATCAGCTCTTAGCTTTCAGTTATTCCTCAAATACATCTGAGAATGTGGATCTACAAGCAAACAAGAAGATAGAAAAGCAGATGCCGATTTGCTACCTCTAAGAAATGGCCCCAGGTTAGCCAGCATCCCACCTGGCCACCAACTGAAACCAGGAGCACAGTGGATTGGAGCTCAGACTCATGGTTATTAAAAATAAAAGTTGGTTATCCTGGCCCAGCTTCCAGCAGCTGAGTGCCAACATTCATAAAAGCTCGAGTGCCCCGAATGAAATCCCTTGGCAAACTAAGAAAGCGAAATGTTCCTCATCTGCAGGGTTCCAGCCCTGCCCTGGAGCTGGGTGAAAACCACAGGGCTGGGTTCAGGCTGTGACACCCCTGTGCTGCCAGGAGGAGGAGGAGGAGGAGACCACCACTGTAGAAGCTGTGGGTCTGGATGGTCAGGACTGAGACATCTCTAAAGCCAAGTTTTAGAACTTGTGGTTTATTGCCAAGGGTGTGGGTGAAAGGGCCCTGCTTGGAGCTGCCAGCTTGGAGCAGGCTGTGAGAACAGGAGGGCAAGAGTAAAAGGAGTAAAGAGAGGGCAGGGGGTAAGAGGGGCAAGGGCAGTAAGAGGTAGGAACATAAGAGAAGTAAGAGCAGTAAGAGAAGTAAGAGCAATAAGAGAGTGAGGTTCCCATTACAATACAATCGATCTTCCTCTGTGTTGAATATTCTAATTCTCACTAACCAATCTAATACAAGATACAAGTTCTATAGTATTTACATACAGCCTATAAAGATCACTACATTACCATACTGTGTTACACTTTAAACCCTAAAACCTACTCTTTGGACCCTCTTTACCAAGCTAGTAGGGTCTTTTCTGACCCTTGGACCTGTTTATAAGCAGAGAGGATTGTTCAGTCAAGAGGGGATTACTTTCAGCTGGCCATACTATTGTTTTCTAGTTGTTCAGTAACTAAGGTTTGGTATCTCAAAGGTGGCTTTCATTTCGATCTTGCTTATAGTTTCCATATTCCCAAAATCTTTTGCCAGGCAATCATATTTATAAGGTTTTCCATTTTCATCTTCCCCAACACACCACCTCCCCAGCAGCAGGAATTACTCCCTTCTCCACCAGCATCAGCATCAGCAACCCAGCAACCACCTCCACGACCTGGCTGCGTGCGCTTTTTTTTGACTCGGGTTTTAATTTAACCTCCATATTCCAGCATCTGTTTCCTCATCTCCACGAGACCACTTGGCCTCGCAGCCCTGCAGGAAGGGCTGAACAGATTCCCCAAGGCTGGCAGCGAGCGGGAGGAGCCGTGACCTACCTCAGATAGTCTCTGCGACACAGGATCAGGTTGGCTTTGGTGTACAAGGTGGAGCCCACCTCCCCCAGGCGACAGTCACAGCAGGCACATTTCAGGCAGTCTTCATGCCAATATTTGTCCAGGGCCTTTAGAAGATATCGGTCTTTAATCTTACGGTTGCAGCCAGCACAACCTTTCGGCTTGGTGTCTGGCTGGACTGAGAGCATTTGTATACCTGAAATACAAGTAAGAGACAAGAGAAGACTGAAAATAGATATTCCTTCAAGTAGAAAAACTCCTGCCCTTTTCTTCCTCCACCTCGCTGCTCCCCCCCACACACAGTTCATTTAAAAGTCAATGGTGTAGGTAGGATAAAATAACTTAGTCAGTCCACAGCAAACTGAAAACAAGGCTAAGATAAATTTGAGAGCAGAAACTTCCACTGCTCTAAGTTCCACAGCTTCTCTTTAACACCTCATTTACCTGGTCTCTTCGCTGAAAAGAAACAAGATTAAAAAAATAACATGAAATATTGAAACAGTCCAGTAGAAAAGCCATCCAATTTCAGCCACAGTATCCAATATTTAGCAATGCAAAATTTAAATAAACAGCACATCTCGAATACTTAGCAACCCAAAAATTAAATAAACAGGATATCTATATGGCAAACATAGTTAAATCCACATATTTCAAGTTATTTGCATTATCTTTATAAAATATAAAAGTACTTCAGTTTTTAAAAAAGAAAAGATTAGAGATTTTAGAGGCGCAGAGCAAGAGTTTCTGAGACATTTGACACAGAAATTTTGATGCTGGGAAGAGGGTGTTTTGTTTTTTTAATATTTTAGTTCTTTTTAGACATATTAATGAAACGACGAGATTTCCAAAAACTTCAGTATCAGCAACGCCACTCACATCCTGCAGTGTAAGGACCTCCTGAAAAATCTGATTTAAAATAATCTGCACGAGGTCAGAGCGGCTCTAGTTTGTCAAGAAAAAAGAAAACAACCCAACAAACCAAACTGCTGCCCTGCTTTCCAATCCCAGTTTTAGCCAACTGCTACTTCGGGACAAGGAGTACAGTAGTGTCCATTAAGTATATGTACACCTTTTGATGTAATAGCTGAGAGCATTTAAAAAACCATTCCAACACCTGAAATGCTGTTTAATGGACAGAACCGGCGAAAAGTGGAACACAGTTGAGTGATGTTACTCAGAGCAACACAGCCAGCTTGCAGGGATCCATTCAAAAATCAATTGCCCTCAGCTTTGCAGTAAATGGGGAGAGGTCACTGCCCCAAAAGTGCTCACACACTGGTGTCTCTGCTTAGCTGCATGAACTGCCATGCCAGTGCACTCAGACTAATTCTCTCACAGTTACCCTTCAGGATAAGCAGAATAACAGCCCTGTGGATATTTCAGTGGTCATCAGACAGGCACAGGAGAGAAGGGAAGAGCAGACACGCTGCACAGTCGTAGCTTACCTCAGTGTTTAAAGCCAGTGATGGAACTGCAAAAAGATGCTACTCACTAGAGCACATCAGAATATTGCAACGAGAATTTGTCAAGGCTGGGGAACGAATGCTGCTGCCAGCAAGCAAATCCTACTCCAACATTAGGGGTTTGGAGCCCTATTATTATCCAGAGGCTGGGAAGGATTGAATAGAGTCTCATAGCAAAGAAGAGCAAATTCAAGAGCCCCTCATCATGAAAGCTCTACTAGCTGGAGTTAAGAAAGCTTGGCAGTGTCAGCTTCTATCAGCAGATCTTGGCTGGTGCTGTAGCACAACACCACAGACAGGCAGCTCAGGGAGCCAGAACTCAGACGACTTGGGGTTTGTTTGGTTAATGTTTGCTTTTTTTGAAATGCCTTGCAAGAAAAACACGATAACCAGTGCAATCTTTGCAGCAATGGTAGAGCATGCCTTCATGGACATCAGGGCTGCAAAGACAAGAGGCTGAGGCATCCCAGGGCCCTCCACACAGGTGTGTGTGGAACATCTGCAATTGATGTGGAGTGCAGTGACTGCATGGCCAGTTAAGTGACTTTCCAGCGTTCCCAAGCTGAACTCCTAAGTCCTGCCTGCAAAGCTGATTGCTGAATTAGAAATGGTAATTCTTGTTGAGACACAGGAGCACAGCAGCCTTGCTCCTCTCTTTGCAATGCAGCCTATCCCACACCTTGGGCTGATACATTTATGTGCTGCAGGAGCTGTTCAGAGCAGACACCCCAAAGCACCCTGGCACTGCTGCTGCTCAACACCTGAATCTCATGACAGAAGCCTGTTATTTTTCACTCTACCAGTATGAAAATTGTCAGTGCTGCCCCTCCCATCACTCCCCAGCTGATGCTCATAAAGACTCCCAAGATCTGTCTCTCATTCCCAAGGGGGAGGATGAGATCCAGTGACCTGTGCTGGGCTCCACAGCCTTGGCAGAGCTGGGACTGAACACACACATTTCCTCTTGAGAAAGCACCATGAGACAAAGGCTGAGCCTTCACAGCATTTTCAATTGACAGCTGACTCCCCTGAATCCAGGGTATGTCCACGAAACAGCAAAGTAACATCACTACGAATAAACGACTCAAAGCAGTGAAAATATCAGAGATTTTTGGGAAGGAACTTATACCAGAATGTACAGGGAAGTCCTGCTGAAACTCTAATGCCATCACTTGGTCAAAAAGCCTTAATCTGCAGTGTTGCTTATCACACTAGAGTGTAAATACCCACTAGGTGCCAACAACAGGCTTATCCTCAGACCCTCTCTTTGGCCATGTAGAGGACAAATGCATAAAATCAGCCATAATTTGTATAAACTTCTTGTAACTCCGTAAAAAAAAAAAAAAAAAAAAAAAAAAGTTTAGAAGCATGAAGGGCTGTTCTAGGACTTTAATCTTTAGCTCGAGGGAAACCAGAATAAACTAGGAGCTAACACAGTTAAAGGCTTTAACGAAAAAAGAATCTTAATGTAAAAATTTCATCGCCCGATAAGGAAGCGGGTTAGAGAGTGGAGGCTGACAGCCTCTGATCCAGGCTGATCCACTGTCCTGAGCTGTCTGAAGGGAACAAGATGCCACAGAAACACGGCCAAACAAGTGAATGTCTGAGCAGATTGCAGTAATCAAGCCTGATAATTCCCGAGGTATATGCTGCAAACATGAGGTTATTGTATTACAAATAAAACTGCAGCTTGCACGTAGCCTGCCCAGCTTTTGAGATACTTGCTACATGAGGAAAGCAGGCAGAGCCCTGTCATTCACACTGGTTAGCCCAAAACCTTCTGGTAGGGACAACTGCAAAGGGACAAACACCCCATGGAAGGAATATTTGCAGCCCTGCATGTCTATTTTCCTGAGGCACAGAGAGAAGGTGGTGCTGACACCCCACTGGCAGCATCTTCAGATTAAGGATTCTATCTGCAGAAGCTTTTGGAGGGAAGGAAAGCTTTTCTTCTCCAATAGATCTGATCTGTTCTCACTTTACATGCAACGAAGCTGGTTCTATTTTATTATTTAAAATTCCCCCAACTGCTGCTTCATTGTAAAAAAAATTAGAAATTACGCTTTTTTTGGAAGTTTAGAAGGGTTCTAAACAAAGTCAAGAAGCGTTTGACATGTCTCCGAATTTGAAAATGTCTTTTTCTTCACACACACGTCCTGTTTAAATCCCTTAGGTTTGACAAGAGAATATTTTATTACCTTTTTTTCCCTGTATTGTACGAGCCACCCTAATGCAGATCACCTCACAGACCATCTCCCTCCCCTTTAACATTCCCACAAGATCTCCGTTGCAGTTGCACTTTTCAGATACGTGCCCGTGTATTTTTAGCTCTCCCTTAATTTGGCAATAAGAATACCTTGCAGCTTACTGTCAGCCAGCTTTTCACAGGCTGTGGTTTAAGTACTCATTTATTTCCTAGGACATGGGAAGGGCCTTTTCAGAGGCTGACAGCACCCACAAACCCATCCAAACTGCTCATTGCTGAAATATCAGGTGGCAGTGCACAGCACTGCTGCCTGGCTGCCTTCCTCTCCCCCTCCCCCAGGAAAGCAGAGCTTATGAAGCACTTTCAAAACATCATACAATTCCCTAAGTGCTACACCCAGGCTGTAAAAAAAAAAAAAAAAAGAAAAAAGAAAAAAAAAGAAAGAAAAAGAAAAATCAAACCTAGCTTTCCCTTCAGTTCTGCAGAGTTCTACCCATGCTCTGCATCACAGAGCAGATCTGTTCTCAGAACTGAGAAATTTCAGTGCCTAGTCTGTCACTGTCAAACAAACCCTTTTTATTTCACCCCAATATGCTTTCAAGGTCTTCCTCTATCCTTCCCTCCCTTCCTCCACCCCCAGTCCCCAGGATACTGCACATAAACTGCAGAGCTGTGGCAGGAATAAGACTTCTTCATCACCATTCACCACCTTTAGGATTTTTGAAGGGAGAACTTAAAAACCTGAATTGCAGGTTTTCAGATTTCTCTCAATCTCCCCAAATAAGTTCAATGAAACCGACTCCCCTCCCTGTTTATTGTTATTGTGGTGTGATGAAACACTGTCAACTGATTTGTAACTATGATTTCATGATAAAGAGGAATGGTTGCTGGAAAAAGCTAAATTAGGCTCCCGGGGAAGGCAGAGAAGCAAAAATCCATCTCACTCAAATCATCACCCTTCTCAAAAATCAAAGGGAATGAAGATTTGATGTAATGAACTATATTGTGTTAGTGATTTAGAAGTGGTGTGTGAGCGGGATTAGTCCCTCGTGGTGCTGAGACACTCAGAGCTCAGTTCTTGTTTGTGGTACAGGCAGTCCTTGGGAGGAAGAGTTGGATATTATGCCCTGCATCTCTTACAAACTTTTAAAGACCACTCTTCCCCCCCTTTGCAGAGGCATGCACACAGTTCTACCAAAGACAGAGGCACAAACAGCACAAAAGGGCAAACTTGCCTCTACTTAGGACAAAAAAAAAAATAAAAATCAGTTTGGAGCAAAATAAGTATTGGGTGCATCAGTCTTTAAAGCAAACTGGCAGACAGCATGCAGTCAGCAAGAGATTTAAGGGTCTAGGAAAAAAAAAAAATACTTTTCTGGTGCTTTCCCACTTTGCAGCTTCACCCTAAAAGCATTCAGAGCTCCAGTAATTCAAGGCAACACACACAGACTTGGAAAAAAAAAAAAAAAAAAGTTGAGGTTTCAGAAGCTAAGAAACATTTCAGAACTCATATGTAGCACATCAGGAGTCGTAACTAGTTTTAGATTGGCATGTAAATTGTTCTGTGGAAAATTCTTATTGCCTCCGAGACCCTGCTATTCTGAGTTATTTGACAGTTTAAGGGAAATCATAATTAAAAAAAGAGACATAAATAATAGCCTGTGCAGTGTGGTGCACAGAAATAAGTGGAACCATTTCATTTAAACTCTGGTGAGCTTTTAATTGCCTGGATTGCATTGTGAACCAGCCTAACGGTTGATTGCCTCCATTATGCTCTCTTGTTCTGTGCCATTCATCCGCACAGTCTCAGCTTCTGTAGTTAACACAACAAAGTAACCGCAACTCCATAACACTCGGGGGTTTTTTAAAAATAAAAGTAAGGATTTCAGCACTCTGAATATAGCCTCTCCTGCATACTTTTGAGTTAATTTTCCATGGTATATAACTAAGTTTCACCTCCTGCCCCTTCTTCTACAGAGGAATCTGCTTTTTTCTTTATTATTTTTGATTTTTTTTTCCTTTCTAAATAAAGGATATGGGTTGGGAAGGAGGGGATGAAGAAAAAAAAAAAAAAAAAGGGAAAGAGAAGAGGTTAGGCAAAAAATAAAAATGAGAATGCAGTCCCACAGCTGGGAGCAGTGATACAGATTAAAAGAATTTGGCCAACATGGCTAGTCGATTGCCAAGAGACACCAAACAAAAGATTTCTCTTCTTCTTTCCCCTTCTCTTTTTGAAAGCTATATTGGGCCTAAAAGCTTGTTTCTCTCTGTTCACTGGCCCAGAGCATCCCTGCAGGCTGTAGCCCCCTAAGGGACAGCACAGCAAATAGATGTACCCAGATCTCAGGGACTGGAGCTGCTGAGCTATGTTCCTACCCCTGGCGTGTCCCCCCATCTCTCTCCCCCAGACCCCCCCCCTCCCACCACTCTCTCCCTCCTTTTTTTAGAGCAGTGGTGCTGGGAACCAATTTGATTCCCTTTTTCTCCAATGCAGCTGCAAGGCTCAGAGATACTGACATTTTTCCACTCTTATCAGTTTAATTACAGTTACCATGGCAGCAAAGTGCTAGTGCTTGGCAAAGGCCAACAAGAGATTTGCAAGACTGAGTTCAATTTTGATGCAGCTCACATGCAAAATAAAAAAATAAATAAGAAACATATACTCCACAACAAAGAATCCCTTTTCGGAGTTAGACGCTCAAGCCCTTTATGCCAATTCCTTCCCGAGCATCATCACAAGGATGGGGAGAGGGAGGTGTCGGGGCCAGCACGTCGCGATGTTTGTCGCGCCGAGCAAAGCGAGTGGGTTTAAAGAGCGGTCCTACAGAGCTGTCCTAGGAAGCGGGGTTTGGGCTTCGGTCTCCTCGGAGCTCAGCACAGCGAGGTGAGGATGGAGAGGAAGCAGAAACCCCCCCCGCCTCCCTCCCCCCCGGGAGCGCACCAGCGCCGGCCACCGCCGCCTTACCAAAACTTTTCTCCTTTTTCTGCATGAGTTGATTTACGGGCGCCTGGAGAGCTCCTTCTCATTGAAGCACCAAAATCCCGGCAAAAGTAGCAAACGCTTCCAGGGCTCGGGTCAAGTGAGCGGGAGCGCGGCGCGCCGCAGCGGGGGCGGGGGGCTGGGAAATGGGAATGGGGATAATGGGAATGGGGATGGGATGGGGGCACGGCACACCCCGAGCCGCGGTGGCGAGCGACAAAGCCACATGCTCCCCTAACTCTGCCGTAAGCCTATAATCCCAGCGGTCTCTTAGCTTTGTTGTAACAAATGGGTTTGATTAAACTGTCACATGCGGCGTTAGCATACCGTATCGTGCTCGCTTAGCAAGGAGAACCGGGGGGGAAGAAGAGGGGGGGAAAAAAAAAATAAAAATAAAAGAGGAGAAAAGAGAAATGCTGGCAGGCAGAAGTGCCGCTGCCCATCGGCAGCCTGGCTGCCCTTGGCTCTCTCTCTCTCTCTCCTCTCTCCAGCCGGTCCGGGAGAGGGAGGATGGAGAGCCCGGAGCCCGCATCCATCCAGAGCGCGTCCCTGCCGCCCCCGGGCTCCCCGCCCCGCTCCTGCCTCCGCTCTGCCCAAAGGGTTAACCCTGCGCCGAACCAGTTGCAAATTAAACTGCTGTACGGGGAGGCTTGTGGATTAAAGCCGGGGAGTGGGAAATTAACCGGCTCCCTTGATAATTGAGAGCATGTTTCGAGCAGCTCTGGAAGAAGCAAGAATAATAATAACAATAATAACGGGGAGGGGGGTAGTGGCGGGGCTGCAATTCATTGTTAACTTTGACTGCTATTTCTCGAGACGTACAGCCGGATGGGTTCCGCTCAGCATCCTCTGCTTGCATGTATTTCATGTCTCATCATAAAAATAATGAAGCCTCACATGATTTAAACAAAACAGTCTCAGCAGAGCTGCAGCTCGAGTGAAAGTTGCAGTGCAGGGATGTGTGTGTGTATTGCAGCCCCGGCTTATGACTCAGAGAGAGAGAGAGAGAGAGAGGGAGAGAGAGAGAGTGATGCAGGCACACATACACAAATGACCCAAAGCTTATGTACACAGTTGCCTCACTTACCTTCTCAATTAAGCGATACAGGGGAGGCAGTTCAATAAGCACAGTGGCTGCTTTGTAGCTCTTCTCCTTGGAAAAGGTCAAAAAGAAGCATTGTTTGGGGAAAAAAAATAAAGAGGGGGTGGGAGAGATGGGGAGGGAGATCGCTATTCTTTAAGTTTAAAATAATGAGGTCCTCAAGGATCCGCCAAGTAATTGTGTTGACCGCATCCGAGCTACAGGTGTCCTCCTTTTAGTATCTTGCAGTCCAAGGCTGTCTGTCTCCGTCCTGGCTGAAGACAACTTACCTAAAGCAGCGTGTGAGGAGCCGAGTTGAATGAAGTCAGGGCTTTATCAGCTGCAAAATGCAATCCCTTACCAGCCAGACATAATACAGCAAAAGAAAAGGTCACTCAGTTATTACTGAGCCAGCAGAGCCCAGGCAGCTCTTGTGGAAGACCACAGAGAAGCAGCTCCCTTCCGATTTAAGGCTATTTACCTCTCTCCCCCTCCACCCACCCACCCACCCTTCCTCTCCCCCCTCCCCTCTCCCGGCTCCCCCTTTCTCTCTCTCTCTCTCTCTCTCTCCTCTCGCTTTCTCTCCCGTTCTGCAGCTCGCTCAAGTACAGCCGCCCTCGGAAAGTGCAAAGCAGCCAGGAGACAGATTGGGCTTTGTTGGTAATTTCCCATGGTGAAAATTTACAAGCCTGCAAGTGCAGTCAGCAAAACCACATGCATATGCTAGACACAAACACCAGGGACACACGCACACACAAGTGACCTCTGCCGAAGCGGCTCAGCATCACCTTCCCAGACAGCGCTCCGGGAGCACACCCGGGCAGCCCCCTGCCCTCCAGCACTCCTCCCCAAAATACTTGGCTTAAACAAAACCAGAAGTTGCCCACGCAAAAAGAAAAAAAAAAAAAAAAAAAAAAAAAAAAAAAAAAAAAAAAAAAAAAAAACCGCACTCCCCCCCCCCCCAAAAAAAAAGCAGCAAGATACATATCTCTCTATTAATGAGTAATGAGAAAAATCCCTGAAGGTGAAAACTCTGCCTCTCTCCGTGCTAGATCTGAGCTGCTCAGAAAGCAGTGGAAACTCCGGCGTGAAAGTTTCCTGCTCCCCGGCTGTGCCACCCCCGGGCCCCGCTTGCCACATGCCACCCCCCTCTCTGCACTTCGGAACCGGAATGCTGGAGGAGCCCGAGCCTTTCCCCCCCTACAGCATCCTCGTCCCAGCAGCTGGAGACAGATCCTTATTCTCTACCTAGTGTTGGAAGTGGGGAAAAAAAAATAAAAAAAAAAATAGACACGAGGGTTGTTATAGGTGCTGAACACCCCTGACCACAGGACAGACAGACAGGCAGACACACAAGAGGTAGAGCACACTTTGATTGTTTCTTCGTGTTTTATGATAAAGATGTTGAGCCTAGCCTACTGTAAATAAAGTTAAAAAAAAAAAAATCCAAAGCATCTTCCTCTAAGAGCCATCTGCAGTTGGAGAAAGACCAGATTAAGAATTTGTGAATACAGTTTTCAGACTTCAAAGTGAATATCTGTTGTCTGCTATTAGAAGCACCACGCTAGATTTCCACAAAGCTTTGAAAGATGTCAGCTTACAATATACCCTAAATTTGAATGACACTCATATTATAGAAGTCTTTCAAGACCCAAGAAAGATTTAAAAGCATTGAAGTGCTCTGCCATCTACACCCCTCCCTCGTATAATCCAGCAGCTCTAATAAAAATCAAAGCAACCTCAGAAATGTATATGTTTAGGACAGGTTTCCCCAACCCCCCCACCTTTGTAAGCTTCTTTTTTTTTTTTTTTTTTTTTAATACATATAAATATACATATATAAAGGTTCCTGTAACAAGCATACTGTGCAATGAACAATTCCTGAATTTCTTGCCCCCTCTCCCTCTAAGTAGTAACAAAACTCAGCCACAACCAACCTGAGCAAGAACCCGAAAAGCACAACCAGAGGCAGCAGACTAGCAGAGCCCCTTTCTGCTGATTTGATCTGCACATAGAGAAAAAGCCAAACTTGAGAGAAACCTGCTCCTCTCCTCTCCTGCACGCACCCATAGGCTCAGGAGAGCCTCACTTTCCCCTGTTTATAGACTGCCACAAGCACTCTGGAAATACAGCAGGGTGAGTGTATGCGTGCCTCTCTCCACCAATGCACTTGGAGAAGGAGAAGAAAAGAGGGAGGGAGAAGTTATGTGTGGGGAAAGGGAGAAATAAAATCAAAACAAATGGTACAGCTA